AGGAAGGAAGGAAGGAAGGAAGGAAGGAAGGAAGGAAGGAAGGAAGGAAGGAAGGAAGGAAGGGAGGGATACAGAAAAATCCTGAATAATGCTGAAACAAGTCTCCTTCAAGGTCATTTTTAGAAGGAGACCGTAACATGGGAATGTTTTAACTACAAATCAACAGAGACCAATTGAGCTAGAATAATTAAGTTGTTTGGTTTTGGACCCCTTGGAGAATTCCACCTAAAAATCAGTTTGACAATTGCAGCAAATTGACAATTGCAGCAAAATCAGGGTGAGTCTTTTTGGTGAAATGCATTATTTGGAAAGGTCAGAGAACTGATTAAATTATAAGCTTACTTTCAAAAAACACATTAAATGTTGTGGCTTTTAACTGAAGGCTCAGTGGTAATAAGTACATGACAGTCGTTTCTTATACTATGTTCTGCAAGACAGAGAACTTCTATTCTTTCCTTAATCCTTCTTTAATATGAAGATGTTTAAGACGAGTATTTAAAACGCTTGTGTGTAAAAAGAGTGAAGTTTATTTTCTTTAACCTAATGTAAGTTATTAACAAAAATGCTTTAATACATGGATTAGAGTTTTGTTGAATGCAAAAGAAAGATGGAAAGGAAAAGGAAAAGAAGATATCTGTGGCATTATAAGTTGACCGAGAAGAAAATGGAGTGTGATCTCTTTTGCTGAATGTGTTTAAACAGACTGGCTGGGTATCTGTCCAGAAAGCTATAGCAGTGGATTCCTGTACCCAGCAGAGGAATGGATTATATCACTTCTAAGATTCCCTTCAAACCTCTTAGTCTACGATTCTTCATCAAAGGGAAAACCAGTTCATTTAGCTCAATATTAAGAAGGCATATTTGAAGAAGGAAAGCTTCATCTTCAATCTGTATTTATAGGAAAGGCATTTTTAAAAATAATTGAAAAAAATTCATAATAAAAATTAAGGAATGAAATATAATGATGTACTGACCTGAGAAGGCTCAGTCAAGTTCAAGAAGAATAAACAGTTGCTGAAGACCAATATCTCCAGCGAGAAAGTGATCTATCAAGTTAAGTATGTGATATAGAGATATAGAGATTGGACACAAAGATGTAGAAACAGAGATAATGAAAACCTTGTTTCTTATGAATTAATTCAGTGTTATTATGGTGTCATTACGCACAATAAGAACAGTTCAATGATGGAACCAATTTCACAGAAAGATGTCAAGTTCCCCTTCAATGAAGTAAGACAAGGCAGCCACCTGTTTGGATGCCTTAATTTAAATTACCGCAGTTTGCAACAAGTTGGATTTGATGGCTTAAGTGATTCCCTCCAACTCTATGATTCTACAGCCTCTAAGCAAAACCAAAAGTGCTTTCACACCAGTAATTTCATGTTCTACTAAAATGCCATTGATGGAAGCATTGACCATAACATGTATTTAGTTATTACCTTAAGGTATCCGGTATAAAATAACATCTTGTTATTTTCCTTCTTAGGCAAGCATATTGGTGATGACATGAATATGAATGCAACTTCCATTACCTATTTTATTTTTCTTGGATTTCCCAGCCATTCAGAGGTTCAGATTCTCATGTTTATTCTCCTTTTTTCTGTTTATGTTATCAGCATAACTGGTAACTGTCTCATTGTTGTTCTCACTTGGACAGACATAATCCTTCATACGCCCATGTATTTCTTTCTGAAACTCCTGTCATTCTTGGAGATATGCTATATCTCAGTCACCCTTCCTAAAATGTTGCATAACCTCCTCTCTGGAGACAGGACCATCTCATTCAGTGGTTGTGCAGTTCAGATGTATTTTCTCTTATTTCTGGGGACAGTAGAGTGCTTTCTCCTGGCTTCTATGTCTTATGACCGGTACATTGCAATCTGCTTGCCCTTACATTATGCAACACGGATGTCTAAAGAAGTTTGTATCAATCTAACTTTGGCTTCATGGTTGAGTGGCTTTTTTCTACCACTGGTGAACACAGGTTGGGCATTCAGCTTACCATACTGTGATTCTAATGAAATCAACCATTTCTTCTGTGACTTTCCACCAGTTTTGAAGCTAGCTTGTGTTGACACATCTCTAAATGAATTAGTGATGCTAGTGAGCAGTTTGGTTATCACTCTGGTACCTTGTATCTTCATCCTCCTATCCTATATTTTCATCCTTGGCACCGTATTAAGGATGACATCAACAAAAGCTAGGCAGAAGGTATTCTCTACATGTTCTTCACATCTCATCATGGTGATTATTTTCTATGGAACAGCCAGCTTTATGTACCTACACCCTAAATCCAGTTATTCAATGGAGAGGGATAAATTCCTCTCCCTTCTGTATACTGTTTTAACACCAATGCTAAACCCTATTATCTATACCTTGAGGAACACAGAAGTGAAAAAATCTCTGAGAAGAACATTAAGAAGGAAAATATTGTTCTGAAACTGTTGTTAAATTAGAATTACCATAATTCCAGTGAGGGATGCTACAGATTTATGAAAGGCCTAGAGTCTTGTCAAAAACTTGGGGTTAACCTCATTTGTGAGACATATAAATAATCCAGTTTTGAAAAACATTCAAAATACCGTAAACGTTTGTAGGTAGGGGGAAGTGAGTATAAATGTGTTACCCTATTGGGTTTTGGTCTTTTCTGAAACTGCTTGTTTTTCTATTTGTTGTTTCAAAGCACTGAAGGGTTAAGTATATTTAATATACTTAAATTATAGGATTGCTAATTTTTGTTGAAAATCTAGTTTATGTTGCTCAGTATATGGTCGACGCTTCAGCGGTTCGAGTCCAGCCTTCGCGTTAAACAGGGTGAGCTCCTGT